GGGGTGGGCAGTGGTGACGGTAGGATGCTGGAGTGTGCAGGGCCCAGGGTGGACGGGGGCCAGGGGTCTCTGTCCCGATGTGTGGCATCCTCAGCCTCTCGTGCTGCCTGTGCAGGTCTGCTGGAGATGTGCAAGCAGTGCGGCAGCGAGGCCGTGAACTACCTCAGTGCCCTGCAAGACCCAGGGACGGTGGAAGGCGCCGACTGCAGCCCGGTGACAACCTGCCTGGGCCGGATTAGCGCCATTGGGGAGGTGGGTGCCCAGGGAGGGCTGGCGGAACAGGGTCAGGCCATGGCGGGCACCGCCGGAGGGGCTGTGCCACCCCTGGATGGTCCCTTTCATCCTGTCCCCTCCCCAGGAGCTGCGGCCCAGAGGGCTGGACGTCAAGCAGGAGGAGCTGGGTGACCTGGTAGACAAGGAGATGGCAGCAACAGCGGCGGCCATCGAAACAGCAGCCGCCCGCATTGAGGTGAGCGTCACCGTGTGCCGTGTGGCACCCATGGGTGTCATGCCTGCCAGGACCACTGGCACAAAGCCAGGATGGCACCCGGGGCTCAGCACAGCCTCTTCCCCCTTTACCAGGAGATGCTGAGCAAGGCGCGGGCTGGTGACACTGGGGTCAAACTGGAAGTGAACGAGAGGTGAGCAATGGCCGGGGTGCTGGACAAGGCCAGGCAGGCAGGAGGAAGCCCGGCGCCATGGGCAGAGCGGCTGCCCCACAGCTCTGGGGTCTCCCTGCCCCACAAGCGGTACTCAGTGGGGTTTGTCTCACAGGATCCTGGGCTCCTGCACGGGCCTCATGCAGGCCATCCACATCCTGGTCCTGGCCTCCAAGGACCTCCAGAGAGAGATCGTGGAGAGTGGACGGGTGAGCTGGGGGCAGGGGTGCAGGCAGAGCAGAGGGCAGTGGGTGCCTGGCCAGCCGGGGTCACTGCGCGCTTGCTGGGCATGTGCTGCTCCAAGCCTTGGCCTGTTGGGGCATCAACGCCGGCTGCCAGGAGCCCCTGCCCCTGCCCTGGGGTGTCACTGAGGTCCCTGATCTCCCTTCCCATGTAGGGACCCTGTGATCCCCCAGGTTTGGTGTCCCCAGCTCCCACACACGTACTAAATGAAACCCTGATTTACTCCGTTCCCCTGAGAGCGGGGCTTTGGGGGTCTCAGGCCCTGCCACCCCCCTGTCCCCAGCATGTGACTGTGCCTTTCCCGATGGCAGGGTGCGGCATCCCCCAAGGAATTTTACGCGAAGAATTCCCGCTGGACCGAGGGTCTCATCTCCGCTTCCAAGGCTGTGGGCTGGGGTGCCACCGTCATGGTGTAAGTGCCACCATTACCGGAGGGGGGAGAGGATGGCAGGGTCCTGCTGTCCCCACGGGGAGTGGACAGGGTAGCAAGAGGATGCTCCAGCCCCTTTCTGCCCTCCGGCAGTGATGCCGCCGACCTGGTGGTGCAAGGCAAGGGGACGTTCGAGGAGCTGATGGTCTGTTCCCGGGAGATCGCGGCCAGCACTGCCCAGCTGGTGGCAGCCTCCAAGGTAGGAGTGCGGTGCCCTGGCAGCTCTCCCGCTGCTCCCTGCATCACCTGGCAGCTCCCCCTCTGCTGCCTGCACTCGGCTCTGGGAGATGCTCCATCCCCGAGGCAGCAGCAGCGGGGCTGCTCCCGTGCCTGCGATTTGGGGCGACCCTGGGGCACCACGTGATCACCCCAAACCATGGGGCTGGTCTTCTGCTCGCCCAGCAGGGTGTAAGCACAGCCCTTCTCACTGCCCCGGCAGGTGAAGGCAGACAAAGACAGCGCCAACCTTTGCAAGCTCCAGCAAGCCTCCCGGGGAGTCAACCAGGCCACCGCTGGCGTGGTGGCCTCCACCAAGGCCGGGAGGTCGCAGGTGGAGGAGAAAGGTAAGCGTGGGGCTGCCGGAGCATAGACCAGCCCTGAAACCTCTGCTTTTCGCACTTGCCATCTTCGGTTGGCTCTGCCCCAGTGGTGTTTGCCTGCAGCTGCCCCTCGCTGCCCATGTATCCCATGGGAGCTGCTGGGGGGTGCAAGCTGGGGGAGCGCAGCTTGAGCAGGGCTGGTGGTGTCTTTCTCTGCAGATAGCATGGACTTCTCCAGCATGACGCTCACCCAGATCAAGCGTCAGGAGATGGACTCGCAGGTAGGAGGTTTCTCCATGTTTTGGGAAGCACACGTGGTGCGTGGGGGCACCAAGTGCGGTGAGTGCGGGCACCCTGCCCGGCTGCCTGACCCCAGGCAGCGCCAGCTCTTGGGGAAGGCCCAAGGTGTGAAGGCAGCAGATGGCTTTGCCCAGGAGCCGCATGCAGTTGGTCCTTGAGCCTTCCCTGATGCTGTCCCCATCATGGCACAGCAGCCCGTGACCTCCCCCTGCTCCTGCGTGCCCACCTGGCCGCCCCACAGCACCCACCCCCCACCCTGGGGCATTCCCTTTCCCTGGCTGCCTTCGCCTGCTTGTACCTGAGCTCAGTCCCCTGCCCAGGACCACTTGCCATCGGAGCACTCATGGGATATATCTTGGTGATCTTCGGGCTTGATATTGGGGAGATAACGGGTGCGAGAGGGGGGTGCCCAGCCCAATACAGCTCCGTGCCAGCCGGAGCACCTGGGGGCTGTGCCAGGGCACAGGGTGCCCATGGCATGCGTGATGTCCTTCAGGTGCGGGTGCTGGAGCTGGAAAACCAGCTGCAGAAGGAGCGGCAGAAGCTGGGGGAGTTGCGCAAGAAGCACTACGAGCTGGCAGGAGTGGCGGAGGGCTGGGAGGAGGATGGTGAGTGGATCCCAGCCCCGCTTCGGCTGGGAAACTGCACCAGGAAGGAGCGGTGTAGGGTGGGGAAGCCATGTCTGCAGTCCAGGCAGCGCGCAGGCATGGGTTTCACTCCAGCTGGCACAAGAGGAGCCTGGGGGTAGTCTGCACACATGGGCAAAGCCACGGTGCGCCTCACATGTGCCAGAGTCTGTGGCATCCACATTGCCACTGGCACGGTGCTGCTGGGGCTCTGCCACCCTGCGGAGCCCTGGGGTCCCAGGGGGATGGAGCGGAGGGATGTTGGGGCAGCAGCACGTCACTCCGCACCCCCTTACTCTCTCTCCCCCCCCCCAGCTGCGGATTAACACCCTCAGCAGAAGCAGCCTGCAGGGGACACCCCCCGTGGCGGGCTGGGACCCAGCTCGGTGCAGCCTTTTGAGAAGATCCACGATAAACTGGTGCAAAAGCCACCCCGAAGCACACGTCCTCTGCGTCCCCCTTGCCAAGAGCCGCCTTCAGCGCCGCAGCACTGAGAGCCGCCGGGTGAGAGCCCGGGGCCGGGAGCGAGGCCTCGCCGGCCTGATGCCAGCCACAAACCGCACGTGTATTTATTAGAGCTGCTTGGGGCTGGGGGGGGTCTCCGGGGAGGGAGGGGGGGTGTCTTTAACCCTTTAGTTTTGTTTTTGCACAGATTTTCATAGAACTTTTTGAGCCGGCTCTGGCTGAGCGAGAGCGGTCGGGTTTCTTTCACCTCTCGCTGCTTCTCCAGCCTTAACCCGGTCCCTGGCTCGGTGTGAACATCCCCCCTGTTATGGAGCCTGCCGTGGTGCAAAGGGCCCCGGGGGTGCTGCCGGGTCGGGAACCAGCTTTTGGGGTGCTGCTGGGCTTGGTGCTAGGTGTGCTCCCCCCTCCAGCGGGGGCACCGAGTGCCTTTGGCTGAGGCTGGGTGGGTGGGAGCGTCCCATGGGACAACCCGGTCGGGGAGACCGGGGTGCCGACAGCAGTGCCGGCAGCAGCCGGTGGTGAGGAGGGAGTGGGGCGAGCGGTGGGAGAGATGCTGCCGTGAGCTCCTGCCCCCCCATCCCGGGTCCCACAAAATGCCCCCCCCTCCCCAGAGCTGGGCTGCCCTGCCCCGACAGATCACTGTGTTCATGCCAGCAATAAACCCTCCGCAAGGTGCTGGGCGTGGGTTTGGGCAACCATGGTGCCACCACACAAGCCACCAGCTCCTGGGGACAGGGGTTGGCTCTAGGGCAGAGGGTTTGGGGGGCAGCCAGGGTGCCCCAAAACCAGAGCACCCTGAAGCCAGAGCGAGCAGCTCCCCCTGCCCGCTTGCTCCGGGCTGGTGCCACCCCTGCGTCCTCGCCACCCTCTTTGGTGCATGGGGGATCTGTGCTGGCTTTGCCATGGGCAGGGGTGGCCATGGGGCTGGCACTGGCCAGGGAACCTTTGTGCCTTGGAGCAGGGGGCTCGGAGGGCTGGGGGGTGTCTGCCAGCTCCGGGCCCCGTGGCTTGTCTTGCTGCAGTGGGGACGGTGGCATCAGACCACACAGCGATGTCCCCATGCCCCCGTGGCCACCCCCATGGTCCTGCTGGTGCCCCTTGCAGGACACCCTGCCTTCAGGCTGCCGCTTCCCGGTGGGGAGACAGCCAAACCAGCCCCCTTGGGCTGCTGGGGGTGCAGGATTTGGCCTTTCTCCCTTTAGGAAGTGGTGGCATTGCCCAGAGTGACTGGGCTGTCACCACGTGCTTTCCCAGTGACGTCCGTCAGCCCTTGGGTGGCACTCGGAGCAGTGGGACCCGCCTGCATCCCCCTGCCTGGCCAGCCCATCACCATGGCCTCAGGGCTGCCACCCCTTACGTGCAGGAGAGTGACACCGTCCACCGTGCAGGGCCCTGGTGTCCCCGCGTCCCCCAGCCAGCCCTGCTGCCGGAACACCGGCTACGTGCCCCCAGCCTGCCAAGGGAACCTCAGGGCTGTCCCCCCGGGGCTCCCACTGCTGCCTCACTCCCTGCCGCGGCCGTACCCCGACCCGCGCCGGCTCCCCTGCGGACGCAATACCAACCATCCCGTTCCTGCAGGACACGGGGAGCCCCCAAACCCTCCCTGCTCTTTTGGGGAGGGGTCTCTCGCCTGCATGGGGTACCCCCAACTACCTCAGGCCTCCAGGCTGGGTCGGGGCCGGGGGGTGGCGAGGGGGTCACAGTGGCGGCTCAGGGACGGCGGCATCACTCTCAGCCGAAACCACTTCTCCTTTTTGTATCTCAGCCGGGCGCTGGCAGGGAGAAATGTCCCCCACGTGGTCCCTTGCACTGTCGGCTGGTGGCAAAGGGGGCGGGGGATGCCCCTCCACTGCAGGTTGGGTTGATTACTTTTTTTTTTTCATTGTATGATAATAATTACTACGTTGTGTGTTTTCGATTTTTCAATAAAGCCTTCAGCCCAGCCTTGCCGGCTCCGGGGTGGGTGGCAGGGGACCTGTGTCACTACAGAGGTCTGGGGGCTCTGCCCTGGTGCTGTGTACCCCCAGAAAAATAACTTGGGGAGAGGCTGTTGAGGTGACCTGAGTGATGTCCTGGCGATGATGTCCCCCGTCCTGGCTATGTCCCCAGGGCCACCCTGAACCTCACCTCTGTTGTTCCTTGGGAGGGGATCAGGTCTGGAGAAGCGAGGGTGGCTTTGGCCTCCCCACCACACCAGTCCTTTCCTGGGGGGGTGACACTGCAGTGAGGGGGCCGTGCAGACCACCCTGCCCTCCCAGGCACAGGGCCCTGCTGCTGGCAGGGCTGTGGGGGCCATGGACAGGGACATGCTTGGGGGAATGTCCCCTCCCAGGCATGACACTGCAGCAAGACATCACCCTGCTGGGGTGCCGTCCCACCCTGGGCAGACCCAGACTCCCCCAGCCCTGCCGGGGGCACCCACTCCCCCTGTACTGCAGAAAGCCCCGTGACAGTCTGTCCTGCAGCCACCAGCTGTCCCCACAGCCATGTTCTACATAGTCCATGCCATCATTGCTGCTATGGTCCCTGCCATGGTCCGCTGCTCTGTGGGACACAGCAGGGCTGCTGAAGCTGCAGGCAACAGGGCGGACAGCACTCCCCCACATCCCCATGTCCCCCAGGGACCCAGTGGCACAGCCAGAGTGGCCCTCCCACGGTCCCAAACACGGGGTGGGGTGGCTCGTCCCAGCCCCACATAACAGGCTGGTGGTGGTGGCAGCATTCATCCGGGACAGGGGATGGCCATGCAGGTGACGGGGGACAGGCGGGTGCCAGTCTGTGCCCATGGGTGCCACCAACGTTGGGTCACATGGGCAGGGATGGGGTCAGGATGGGGGACAGGCAGGTGACCAGAGGGGCTGGGGCAGGGGGGACACAAAGGCTGGAAGGGTGCAGGGGGCTGTAGGGGAGGACGCAGAGGCTGGAGAGGTGTGGGGGGGCTGCAGGGGACAGGATGGAGATGGTGACATAGGGATGGGTAGAGGAGGGACACAGGGATTGGGATGGCAACGAGGACACTGGTTTTGGAGTGGGGGTAGGGAAATGGGAATCTGGTTGAGGGAGACGTGGGGGTCAGGGTGAGGATGGAGGGTTGGGGACAGGAGGACCCGGTGGTGGGGATGAGGGAGACCCCAGGGTCGGGGTGGGGACACAGGCACGTGGGCTGGGACGGGGGGCTGTGGATGGAGATGGGGGATGCTGGTGGGGACGGGGGGGAAGCCAGGGTCAGGGTGGGGTCCCAGGCGGGTCGGGA